GAAACCGTGAGCCAGGACAGCTCCCGAGCGAGGGGACGCGAGGGTGCCGACCCTCGGGCCCGGCTGGAGGAGCCCGAGCGTTCCAAATAAACCAGGCCTGGTCCCCGGGGTCCCCGGGGCTCCCGCTCGCCGCCCAGCGAGCAGCGCTGCGGCTGAGGCCGTTCCCTGGACGCTCGAGCGATCTCAGCGACGGCTCTCGTGGGCTTTGATGGACGGAAAAGATCTGAAATCAGCGGTGTTAATTACTGATGGCATCAGAAGCTCAAAGCGGGGCGATGCCACTGACTTCCCCCCAACCCCCACCCCTAATATTTTTAATGTTGTTTCTCAAAAATAATCGGTATTTGAATTTAATTCTGTTATATAAGAACAGTATTACCATTCAGGTCAGTCATTTCAATGCCTCATTTCCAGCAAAGCGTTGTCATTACAAAACCGTAGCCCGCAGTTATTCAGTTTTTAGAAAATAAATCGGTAATAACTGGCGATGGCGTTTTGCTTCAGGTCTAGACGGGGAACTGAATCAACTACTAAAGTTTAATTTCAGTATTTTCACCAAATGCTAAAGCATAAGCAAATGGTTCTGAGATATTCACGCTATCGGTCTCGACATGACGTGGTTGCTGCTTTCCCAGCAGGCTCCATGCCTCGCTGCCGTAGGTGCTTTGTGGTATTTCGGGAGCCGTATTTTCCAGAACTCGACAGCATCGCAGTTCTCTTCCCTCCGGTTCCCTCCCAAATCAAGCCCATCATTTTCACCACAAATATGGAAAGCAAATATCAGATGGGCTGAACAATTTGAGATTAATTTCATTGCTCAACCAAACTTCATCAAAATACTTCCTTGTCCCTACGTATCCATTACCAGAGGAGTGTTAAACTCTTGATATTTATTTCTTGCAAAAGAAGGACTACAGCAGGGGAGTCGGTGAGAAAGCATCATCGAAGATGCAGATAAAGCTTTTCCATTTATTTTTTTTAACAGTCCAACAATAATCATAGCTCTCCAGGCACGTGCCTGCTGGTCGGACGGTTTAATACTCAGAAGGGGGAGGCAGTAACAGAAGAGTCTCTCTTCTACATTAATTTTTAAAAGCATATATTGTGTCTTCTGGAGGGAGGTTTGCTATCCAACACACACTGAAGAGAAATCGGATTCCCTAGCTGGACAGGACACAAATATCCAGGCTTGGTAATTCCACGCTCCTTCTTCCTTGCAGGTTAAGTGGCTGATGCCAAGCCTTGCCACCAACCGAGAAGCGCTCGATGCCTTTTGCCAGGTGATTTCACGCCTATCTGTGCCGCACGGTGCGGTACAGCAGAAAGAATACCCAGCTCACAGCAGCGCTTCAGCACGGCCGGCTCAGCGCCGTACAGAGGCTGCAGGTTGTTGGCTCTCGGCAGGGCTTGTTAGCCTGTACCTGGTACCACCGTAACACGGTTATGCTCCCGTTCTGGAGCCAGTTCAGCCTTTGCTAGTTGCACAGCATATGCCTGATTTTTAAATCCTGCTCCGCTCCTGGGGAATAATGTCTGCATTTCTTTTACTGTTCTCTAACTGCGCAATGTTTTCCACCACCCTGTCCTCACTTACCCATCTCCTTGAAGTAAAAAAAAAAAAAAAAAAAAGCCTCAACCAACCATTTCCAGAATAATGTGCAAGAACTAAACCTGTCAGCCTTAACGGTTTAATGATTCTTAAGACATAAGCTTGGCTGTATCACTACGCACTGGACATCACTCATGTAACTCCTCTTCCTTGTCATCCACTCTTTAACCCCTCCTCATTCTTTGTGTGGTACATCTAAAATTAGAGCACAAATACACGCGGAGGGAGCAATATTTTGGAGTTTATTTGCTCTGTCAGTGGCATAAACCTCAGCTTTACTCCTTGCAGACACGCTGAGCAGAGAGCTGATGGAGCTTACCTAGAGATTACAGGTTATGTTCATAAAAGGCCACAGGTACCAAAGTTGAAACTTGGATCTTTAAAAGTCCTGCATAGCTCCCTGCCCATTCTGGAGGCTCTCGGGTTTTTGAAGAATGCTCCTGCATTTTGCCCCCTCCGCAGACAGGTGCCCTGCTCCTGCTGCAGTCTGCGCTCCCCACGGTCACTCACCAAACCTGGTTTAACAGTCTCGGTCTCCGCAGAAGGGAAGATGAAACAGGAACGCTGCGTTTCCTCTGAGTGCTCAGCCAGGGCAGAGATGTACAGTTTGAATTCCCCTTAACATAAATCCTCAGCTTGCTAGGGAAGCGCACTCTTCAGCAAACCGGCTACTTGCACTACACAGATCTGGCACATCTTGGCTTATCCAAACAGTAACACGCTCATTATCAACTTCTGTTTAACTGCTACAGGTTAAACCCCTACAGCATTGCTGCTGTCTGCTGTATTCCAGAACAGGAGGAGATCTGGCTGTACTGCTGTGTAAACAGCACCTCGGGGTACGCTGGAGGTTAATCAGCAGAAGACCCACACTGCTTGCCTGCAGGCACCATCTCCCATTGCGGGGTGACCTGACACTCTTTTGTTCACTGGAGGAATCCTGGGTATGCCCACCATGGGAGCACCTTCCTCTGATTTCCCCCTCCTGCATTCCACGTATTAATCACGTGGATGCATCCTGACCTTCAACTGTATCAGCTGCTTTTCATAATGTCAGGTAGAAAGTAGGAGCCTGGGTCTTCCTGGACAAATTGCTGTGTTGCTTACCGCCAGGGCAGAATTTGTAGATAAAATACAAGGCTTGTAGTGACATGCAGAGTTGCATCTTGGGATGATGTAGACATGTATCATGGGGCTTGAGTATACATTACTGATGTGCTGGTCTTTCAAAACAGAAGGAGTCATGTTCCTACTGAAAGAGCAAGCTTGCTAAACTCAGTCTGACTGAGTTTCTTCCCCGCCAGGGCTGTCAGGCACTGGAAGGGGCTGCCCAGGGAAGGGGTCGAGTCCCCACCCCTGGGGGGGATGTAAAAGCCGGGCAGACGAGGTGCTGAGCGACAGGGTTCAGTGGTGGGATGGCAGGGTTAGGGGAACGGTTGGGCTTGGTGATCTTAAAGGGCTTTTCCAACCTAAATGATTCTATGATTCTATGAGAAGAGCCCCGCTGCCTGGAACTCTCTTCCATGACAAAAAAAAACCCAAAAACCCACCACCTAATTCCTGACAGTCAGTAGAATCATTTCTGTTCACTGATCTGCAAACAAGTTATTAGTTTATGCCTCGGGTGTTAGTAAGGATGGTTTGCACCTAAGAATTCCAGTTGGTAGCCTTCATCTGGCAAAAGATAATCTTCTAGAATGTTCTTCTTACTCTATGTTAACTGCATATCAGCGTGCTTCACAAGCAGTGAGGAACTTTAAGGCTTTGAAGGCTAGACTAGAGGTAAAAAACTTTCTACAAACGACTGTTCACAAACGGGATAATCCTGACTGCATTCTCCAAACCATTTTGGTTTCTGAACGCATTTTGATGGCACGCATAGGAAAAGACATTATCCATAACTGAAGCGGGTGTGAGGAAGGCCTGCGGACTCCATAGCAGTATTTCAGTCTGTCTCAGCTGCTGCTGAAACAAGCAAAGTAGCCGATAAAACTTTTCTAATTCTAATTCTAGCCAAAGGAAAATCTATCTGTGAACTTGGGATCTTTTTCAGCCTGTTTTCAGCCTGACACTAGTGTTTGAAAACAGAATCATCTGAAGTTCAGAGATTTTTATCTCCTACATTTTAGGCAGGCTTTTCTTCCGCAACTGGAATTTGTCACTTCATTACTTTATTAAGAGCAGACAAAAGACATGCTTTCACCTTGGAAATATTTGCTTACTTTCTCCTTGACAGGGTAGCTGTCGGGAGAAAGAGCAGTCTTTAAAAGTGCAACACATGCACCTTCAAAATTTTAAGTTCTTCATTTTTATAAGAAAATAGACAGCTATTCTGCACAGCTGATGGATCACAGAAACAGTCCCCCATTGGAGAGGAGAGGGTTTTGAATAGGGCTTTCTTATCTCCCTGCACAATGCTTCCCTCTAAAGAAAAGTAGTTACTAAATCCATAAAATCAGTGCAAAACAGAGTGTTGTTTAAAAGCAAACCCTCCAACTGCCATGGAATAAAACAGTCTCCAGTATTTCAGAATCATGTTTGCATTCAGTGATGCAATCATAGCACGGTAGCCTAACTTTAAATCTCCTATAACTGCACAGAACTGAAAACTGGTTTGTAGGTTTTTTCATTTCATGGGATTTTTCTTCTTTTTGTTGTTTCTTTTTTGTTATCTTTTTCGTTTGTAAAATAATAAGGGCAAGTTGCTTCAATAAAAAACAGTCCAAGGATACAAGAAACAGCAATTTGATTTTTTTTTTTCTCTCCTGGTAATGGCAGCAGACTGGTGAAGTATTATCAGCTGTTCTTCTAATGATTAACTTACATTTGAAGAAACCAGCTGATCCTGCAGGCATTTAGTAATATTGATGCCATCGTATCTGCAAAACCCCACTGAGTAAATCCTTAAACCATCTGCGGTGAAGAACTAACTGTAAAGAAGTAGAACAGATTTGGCAATCACTTGTGTAACTGTGACTTGACGAAAGAAACTGTGTTCATGCACACATTTTTACAAATGAAATGAAAATTTATTTAACATTGATCAGAGCGGCCTGCTGATGAGTCTCCACATGCCCTTCTCATTCTATTTTGACAAATTTTGGAAGTTTTCCTATACTTTTACAATCACAGCAGTGATTGCTGCGGATGGAAGCACTGCTGTGTGTGCCCTGGCTCGGAAGAAGGAAAATGTTATTTTCTTTTGTTATTCTCTGTTCAGGTGAACCTTAGGAAAATACTGGGAGCATTTCTACTTTGTCTTTAATTAATGCCATTTGTCACCGTAGTGACGTATCACCAATGAATAGCTTTGGAGACATTTGTATTTCATTATACATTAAATTCTATAAAGCATAATTTTATCATGAATGTTTAGTAAATACTTTGATAAATAGCTTGGTTATTCTTTTCAGAGTAACGTTGTGTGCTGCACACTACCCTTCAAGTACATATATATTTTAAAAGGATGTTTTTTCCTCAGAGTTTGACTGACCAAAGTAGCTATACTCCTAAATTAATACTTAGAACTGCATCTGGTAAGTGGCCAATAGATTGTCCTATCTATGTATATCTCTATATATCCGTATTTATATATCCTTCCTACTGCTGAGGAATTTTAAGGATGGAAGAGCTAGAGAGAGGACTCTGCAAGCTCAAACTCATCTGTTCCTAGCCTAGCTCCCAAATAATACCATTTTTTCCCAGAAAAAAAGAAGATGCTACCTCTGCAGAGCCTAGATCTTCTGCCATATTGCTGTGATTTTTACCGGCCCTCTCTTTCCGTCTCTCCACTGGCTACCTGTTTTATTTCACTGAATACATTTTTTTGTTATTACCTTAAAGGCCTGGGTGGCTTCTTGTGCATGCCCTGCCAGCTGTCCTACGCGATCCACCTGGGAGCTTCCATTCCTTGACGCCTGGCCACCGAACATCCGCCACCACGATCTGAACCCTAAGGATTTTTGTGCGGGCTCCAATGCCGTGTCCCCCCTCGTGGGATGAACCCCCCTATGAGGGAAAGAAAAAAAAAAAAAAAAAAAGAGTCATGAAAACCCCCCCTGCCGACTCCCCCGAGCCCCCACATGCCACAC